TTGTCATACTTTTAAAATTATACTGCAGTTTCACTAGAAAATCTTTTATATATATATATACTTTTAATCTTTCAATATTATAAAAGAATATGAACAAATTTGTAATAAGGTTCGTTAACATATTAGTACTATTTATCGAAGATTTTTATTACATTTAATATGTTCGAAACTAACAATAAGATATATAAAAATATTAGGTTAATTTTGTGATTAAGAATGTGTGTTGAGAATTACTGCGGAAGAGGACCGATCATGGTTGACTGCAAAATTGGGTTGCGAACAAAAGATTTATACTTATTATAACTTGGTCGGCTCATGCAATGCGTAAGAAAGGCCAACGCAAGAAAAGCTAGAAACGTAAGAGAGAGACATTTATTAAGGGAGATAATGAAACCATTCAAATTCAATCCGGTTGAAAGATACTTTTATATATGGGTTATAGGCGGTATTAGGCAGTATAAACCGCCTAACGTGACAGTCACCAGGATACATCGCGTTATAATGTTCATTGACTTTCTTCGTGCTATTTATTCAATCTCGCACAAAACAAAATTATTAATTAATTATACGTTTATAGGTATTAGTCTGATATTATCAGATTTTTTATGTGATAAACAAAAAAAATTTTCACCGAAAACGCAAATCCTCGAGAAACAAAAATTTGTTGTTTATTATAAAAATTTGTTTGATCAAACAAATAGATAGTAGTTAAAAACATATATATTTATTGTAATATAATTTAATATGGTAATATATTTATATAAAATAATATTTAATAATATTGTATAATAATTTGTGTAAATATTTACACAGTATTTCTAAATTATATGATTCAAGAAAAAAAACAAAAAGATATTTTAATAACAATATTTTATTATCATGAATTGCAGTATTGTTGAAATTGATGTCTTCTTTTTCACATGTATAGTTCTTGTTTTATTACTGATCCATATATTCTTGATAAGATGTTTTTGCTTTACAATTTCTTAAATAAAGTGATCTAATTGTAAGTTTTGTTGTGACAAAAGATAATAGAATATATATGTATAACATTTGTTCGATTTAATAAGTACTTTTTAATGATATTAATAAATACCATTATTGACATCTGTTTCACGAATAAGAAATAAAATAAAACAAAATAAGATTTTGTTATTTATAGATCATTAAGAGAAATTATATGAAAATCTTAGTTCCACAAAGATCAATAATAGGATTTACAAAGAGCTTACAATTCGAACGACATTACACGGTAATTGATTTGAGTACCTTTTCTTTCGGTTGCTGATCCAGTCTCAACTTATCATTATCATAATCATCGGTAAGTAGGGTACTTTCCTCCTGGAGGCGATAATACATCGGCTGTCGAAAGGAATAAGCTTTCCTACCGTTGCATATTCGTAAGAGACCCGATGATCTTCTTTCGACGCATACATAGGTTGTATATATATATATATATATATATATATATATATATACAATGTACATAAATTTCAATCAAACCCACTTTTTGCGAACACGACTAGGTTTAAATTAACTTTCCTACTCAATCTTTTCAACGAGTTTTTGATTTCTAATAAACGATACTAAATTTTTGTCATTCGATTCATCAATCATTACTGATGATTATTTTTTATTCATGATAGTGTATTATAGTTTGAAATATTGACAAATCAATTTTTTAAAAATACATAAAACTTTAATATTTTATAAAATTAAATTAATACTAATTGTAAGATTCAAATTAAAGAGAAGATTAAAAAGTTGATCAACGAAGTAGAACAAAATAAATTAAAAAATAAATATACAGGGTGAGTCACGGAATGTAACGTTTCAAAATAACTCGTAAAATATACCTACATAGTAGAAAAAAATTTTTCCTGCATAGTTAAACTAAATTAAGGAGCAAATGTAATGGTAAACCCAACTTTTTTTTTAAGGACATTTTTTTTATGAGATGTCAAAGTCATCGTTATTTATTAAAAGAAATGCTTAACTTTTTTTTTTATTGATTTTGATAAAAAGTATCAAATTGTACATAAAAGACTATGATACTATATAGATCCTAAAATGAATAATTGCTGAGATATTCACAAATAAATTTTTATTATTATAAGTATTCGAAGTGTTCTCCATTACAATCAATAATGCACTTTCATAATCTTCTTATCAAAGAACGTTAAAGTAAGAACAATTAAATAATAATAATTAATAAAATTATTCTTTGCAATGTTTAAATATTTATAAATACATTTAACTAAGTGTCAATAAACAATTCCGTAAGATATTTTTTCTTTACAAATTTCAATAATTAAAAATAATTATTTAGAATACTTATCGTTGATTAACCAAATGAATGGGTCATCATGCGTGCTAAAGCACTAAAGGCCACAAGTGGGTTAATGGCGATTGAGCAGAGAGAATAAAAAAGAAGGGGAAAGAAAAAGACAAATATATACGAACAAATCGGGTGTACATATTTTGCGGTTGGTCAGATACGCCTCTACGATTACATTTGAAGTATTAGGTATGGCATGGTTGACGTTGATGAACAATTCCCTCCTGAGTCCTCGAAGAAGCAACGATCGTTGTTGTATGAAGTACGTAGCTGATCTGAGCTTCTGAATGTTGCTGCACTTGTTTTTTCTCTTCTTTTTTTTTTCTTTTTTTGGCAACAACCTGATCAACTGGACTGTTTTCATATTTTTTTTTCTTTTTTTTTCTCTTTCTCCTTACGTGTAATAACTGTTTGCTCCCTTTCGAAAATGAGCGGAAAACGGGAGCACCAAGAACGATTTCGTTGAATCTAAGAAAGTTTTCTGTTAATGGGGATCGCCTACCTTTAAGATAATACTAATGTTTTACGAGAAAGTCGACGGTAGTAAAAGGCTTCGAGCGTGGTGATAAATATATTGGTGTGATTGCGATTAGTACGTTCTACGAGCTAACCCGTGCAAATATTTATATAAGTATCTCTTTTATGTATCTCGTATTTTCTTAATTCCAAAAAAAAGAATATCCAATCATTTGATCTGACTAGAATCATCTTAATTAAATGTTTTCTATAATGATAACAATTATATATATATATACATAAATAGAGATACAAGAAAATTCACTTTTACATATTTTTATTTTTAATTACTGTAACTGTCTTATTAATTACATTACAATAATATTAAATATCTAAAGGCGTAACACACACATGGGTGTACACACATGTAAAAGCTCTTTAATGAAAAGTACTTGCAATAGATCTTTCTACGAAAGCAACAAACGTGATGCTATAATCGATAACTATGACACATGAATTTTTCATAAATTTTCATCGATTCCAATACGCTGAATAAAGAAAAAAAATAAATAAATATGATTGCTAGGAGTGTAAAAGTAGGAAAGGAGACTAATATCGCCGTCGTTAAGAAACGAATTCCTCGTTTCTCTCGATCTCATACGCTTAGAAAGTACATCTCGACTAATTGTAGGCGATCGTACGTAGAAGATACCACATAGATACTTATATACCAACATAAATGTGTAATACGCGTGATCTTTCGATGATTAGATGGTTATATGTTTGCATGTAAGTATTCAAACCGGTAAAATCATTTATTATCTTTGATTGTTTAACGATTATGTTGCTTAACCCTCGCAAGACGTGCCTTTAATCGTAGATTTTTTATTTCCCTAAAGATTTTTCGAAGGAAAACGCGTTTCTATCCGACCCGTAAGGCATACCGTTAGCTAAGACGTATGGGTCTATCTAGAAATACTCTAAAATCATTCCGTCGATCCTTCATGTTATTCACTTTGAATACCAAAATATCGAGCAACGATCGTTTGCGTAGTACGATCGAACATGGAAAGTATTTTCTTCCTGTAAAGGTTTAATTTGAATTCCTTTTTCTTGTCATTAATCTACAGCACTATAAATAGAATGAATAGAGACATAGTTAATTTTCTACTGAAATGTATGTGTTTGATAACGATTGTATCATTTATCAACTTAATTTTATAAATTATTCACTTAACTAAGTATAATATTTGGCTATCAAAGTTTATACAAAATAAATAAATTATCTTAACGCCATAAAACTTCAAGATCGATAATTTATCTTATTTTTAAAACACGTATTATAAAATTTATATTTACCGTGAGTAAACGACATATTAGATTCCATTTTTAATCATTAGAGATGCAATTGAATAAATTAAATAGTGATTATAAATAATAAAAATTAAGTAAAACGTCATGATTACGATAATGGTGATTATATTTTAGTATTATTTTTTAAGAAAAATTCAAATATTGATAAAACAACGATATTAATTTGAAATATTAAAAAAACAATCTTTGAAGTATATTGATGAATGATGTTCTAGAAGTGGCCTACCTATTAGAAGAGAAACCAAATGAGAAAATGAGAGAGAAGTACGGATGCTTTATCGAGGTCGAAAGGTTTGACAAATATCGGCAGTTTTAAAGGAAAGCATAGACCGAAACGAGCGATGTACCGTTCAGCAATAATCCTTTATAAACGTACATACTTGAATGAAAACGGAGCGAGTAATCGTTGATTTTTCACATCTACTAACATACGTACCATACTTACCAAAAGGAGATCAGTTCATAGATCAGTCGATCGTCCGATAATTCTGAAATAAGGAAAATGTTGGAAGAAATGTAAAAGGAAGCAGAGTCATCTTCGGAAAAGGAAGCATAAGTCCTCGTTATCGGTCACGATCGGTGTCAGGACATCGTTCTTTGACCTCCTCCCGAAAGATAGGAATATACATTGCTCCATCGAGAAATGAAAACGTGACCCTTTAAAGAAGAAGGATAAAGAGGGAGATGGTGAGATGTTGGCCATTTTTGGTCTCGAAAAAATAAGAATAAGAAAAAGAAGAAGAAGAGAGGATAACGAAAAAAAAAACAAATGTCTTCTTCGATGGTGAAGAAGTGAAAGAAAGATAGAAAGAAAGAAAGAGAAAGAGAGAATGGCCTAGAAACGTGCCAAAGCGTTCTCCGATGCGTTCACGAAGGATCTCCAGAGAGGTTACCACCTCCTTTCCATCTTGGACACAACAGTAGCTCTCTCTCTCTCTCTCTCTCTCCTTCTCTCTTTCTCTCTTTCTCTTATTTTCTTTCTTCGTTTGGGGCATCGTCGACAACGATGGTAAATGGCCCATGGAGAGGCTCCGCGCCTCCAGTTGGAAACGGGAGCACGCCACGTGAAAGTAGGAAGGGGAGGCTATAGCCGGACCGACGTCGCTTCGTGCGCTTCAGTCGTTCGTGGACCTCGAAGGACGATAGAGGTCGAAGAGGACATTTCCTCCTTTTCCTTCCTGACTGGTGCTTCTTCTCTCTTTTTATTATCTATTTTTTTTTATCTCTTTTTTATCCTTATACAATTTTCTGTCATTGACTCTTTAACTGTCTGTTTGTCTGTCTCTCTTTCTCTCTTTGTCTCTCTCTTTCTTGGTCGTTTTCTTTGACACTATCGAAGGTGATAAGACGACAACGACAAAAACGCAACAACGATTTCCTTTATCAATTCGGTTCACTAGGATTCATAGTCCTTCTTCTACAAGAGAAGAGGACGAAGAGGAAGAAGAGGAAGAAGAACAAGGAAGGATCTTCTTCTATCTATCCTTCTCATCTTCTTATTCAAGTTGCAATTCTCCTAGGACGTCTCTCTTCAAATTTCATCGATTTCCTCGGGGTCATCGTTAATTTTTGTTTTTTTTTTTCTTAAAACGTCAGAAAGATCAAAAGGGAAGGAAGGATGCGTCGACAGGTCTACCTCGTCGTTGGAGTCATCTTCTTGGGCTATCTTCAAGGTTGGTACTCATTTTCGTTTTTTTTTATTTGTGGCTTTTTATATGAAACATTTTTTATACAACATTGCAAGCATTCAACGATGATTTCTAATTGTTTTATTTTTCGAAAAAATTCATTTTTGTTCGTACATTTAATTCTGAACATTTTTTTTCCAAACTTGCGTATAAAATATTTGTTTTCTTTGGAAAGAAAAAAACAAGTTGATTGGAAATATTAACGAAATGTATTTATCGATGAAAGAAATGAAACTTTCAATAGAAAAAGTAATCAACAAACAGTGCGATTTAGATAGAAAATGATTTTGCTATTAATTGATGCAAATCCTTTTAAAACGCTATATTTTTTTAGTTTTTCTTAATTTGATTCCTCTCGATTGTTATCCAACTATCTTTGACCTTAGTGAAAAGGATTCTTTTCATCCAGGAAGGACTTGTCTTCTTTCATTTTCATTTTTTACTTTCCCTTTTTTCTTGATTTTCTTGCTCTCTTCGTCACGGTATATCAAGGTCGGTAATCAGATCTCTTGGTGAACTCTTCGGTGGTGATCATCTAGCAGTAATTCGAGAAGTAAATGAAACCGTGACCTTGACAAAAAAAAAACCAACAAAAAATTATCATTATTCGGCGTAACTACCGAAACGGTCGCGTCAATTCGCAGAATCTTGACAATGAATGGTGGAATAATTTTACGCTCTGTCGATCGAAAATCACGAAATCGATTCTGAGCTAACGAGTTTGGAGAATTGAGTTCGATTCGAACAAAGTAGTAACTCGTCCGAGTAAAGAGTTTATATCAACGATTTATATTACTAACTGAGTAAATGACGTAAACCTAAGTTTTATGTGGGTGTTGTGTAGTAACACGTGAGAATAATTTAAAGAAGCAGATATATCTCGAGTTACATTGTAAGAAATGTTTATAGAGTTGTTTTTATCTGACAGGGTCATACTTGATTACATTTTTAGAAACAAGTTTCTTCTTTTATTTTTGTTATATTTAAAACATAGAACCATAACAAAGAAACATAGTGATACCGATGTTCTCTTCGATCTTTATTACTTATAGTCAAGTCGATATTAAACCTAGTATATACCTTAGTATACGCAAAGTAGTTTTAAAATATTAACCAGGATTATTTAGAGCACTGGGCCAATTCATTTGAATCTTTCTCTTTCTCTCTTTTTAGTTCTTTTTCTATATTCTTTCGTCTCATTTCAAAAATATTTCTCACAAATCATAGCAGTAATCTTTTTATAATCGTTCTTTATTGCTTTAAAGTTAATTAAGTTGAATCATGATGAACTTTATCTTAGGTAGCATATATATTATATATACGTATATAATATGTATACATTTATATTACCTATAAATATAATTATCGATGGTTCGATAAATCGTCAAGATTGTGGGACATGGAAAACTGTCACGAAAAATCAGAATGTAATTTTAGAACTGTTCTTTTCATATGCGATAAACGAAGCGAGAAAGAGTAATGATGGAGAAAAGAGAGAGGAAAATAAAGAGAGAAAAATAGAGATGCACAGACAGCTTCCGAGTATCTCCTTCTCTTTTCTACCTTCTTCTTCGGTAAATGGCTTTGCTCAGGGTGCCCATTGAATTCCCTGCAGGGAGTCAGGATCGTTCCTTGGCAAAAGCGGTGTTCTTTCAACGAGGGAAGAAAGAGAGAACCATCGTTTTTCGTTTTAATCTCTCGTACGTTCGCATCCTCGTGCTCGAATCTTTGAGTAAAAAAAGAGAGAGAGAGAGAGAGAGAGGAAGATACGAGTTTATGTCTTCTCTTTTTCTTTTTCTCTTCTTATTTCATGATTCTGATATGGACCACTCGAAATTTATCCCAATGGCGTAGGTTTCATTTTGGAGAATAATTATTGTTTTATAATTTTTTTTCAAATTTTATTTGTCAACAAATTTAACTATTCGAGAAACATTCCAATGGCATAGAATTTGTTTTAAAGAACAATTATTAATTTATTTAATTATATTTTACACTAAAAAATAATTAAAACAAGCGAGTCATATTTCAATGGTTTGGGCTTAATTATGGAGAACAATTATTATTTTTTTCTTGGATTAAATTATATTTTTAAAAACAATCAAATTTTAATAATAGATATTCATTTTTCTTATTTAATTGCATGACTGTAACAGTACATATTAATTTTCGTTCAAATAATTTTCTTTTTAGATAATATCAAGCAAGCCAGGAGTTGTTTCATTACGGCAATAAAAATTAATTAAATACACGTTTTAAGATAAATTATTCTCTCGGTATTTTTTTTAATTCATCTTACGATATCAAATCGAGAAAAATCTTCTTCTAGAATTCATTAAATCAAGATTCGCAAGATTACGCGTTCTGATGCAAAAGGATTGATGTAAGATTTACGTAAATCCGTATATGTGTATCGAGAATGTTGACAAGTCATAAGTTTTATCGTGAGTAGAATCCAATTTAATGTACACACCTTCGTCAGAAGTTTCATTATGCTTATAAACTATTAAACACACACACACATAGACAGTTAGTTATATAGGAATGTACTGAACTGAATCATTTAAAAATAGAAGCATTAATATATTGCAGTTATTTTATATGATAGAAACAAATTTCTAAACAAAGATTATTTTCCATTGGGCAGCAATATTTTTGTTCAAAGTTATTGTAATCATATAATACAAATTGAAGGTATTTTAAAATTGTCTTGATCTGATTGAAAACTTTTGTATAAGATCAAATTATAATTTTAATGAAAACAAGCTCGATAAGGTTTTTATTTAAAAATATAATTTTTGAGTAATAGTTTTCTTAATTGATATAGAAGCTCCTTCGAGATGAATATGCTTTTTCTGACAAATTTTGTTCTGTCATAAAAACTAACAAAGATATTTTGGCTTATAAAGAAATTAAGTAATTCACTTGGTATATTCATATTATACATACATAAAAGTAAGTACGGAAATAAATAGAGAAAAGGAAGCATCTGTCAGACCAATTAAGAAGAAGGTACGTTAAGGATTAAAGTTACAGGAAAAACGAGTTACATAGCTTTTTCTTTATTAACGAATCCTCAGTGTCCTTCTTTACATTTTTCTTACGCTACTGTACGAAAGCTTGTACTATAAAGGGACTATATACTCATATATGTATATAATAATATAAGAATGTATGTGTTGGTATAGGACCAACTCGTGTGTTCGACCAGAGCGCGTTACGTGCTTCACATAAAAGTCGTAAAAGTCGACGAGTTAGTTGAGCTGACGCGCCTAATTAAGTATGTTAATCGGCTTTAAAACTTGCCGTTAAGAAAGCGAGAAAGCATGGTAATTCAAGAGAATCGAAAATAGTAAGTAATATCGTGTTACCTTAGCTTTTAAAACCGTGAGAACTGGAAGGAGTAACGAGATCCTGCGAAAATTTTTCACTACCTAGCACGTGTCACACGCAATTGATTTACAACAACTGTGACTAGAACGATGAAAATACTTTTCTTTTTCTTATTCCTTAGAAGATTTTATGGAGGCTATCGGGCATATGTTACGATCTTCTGCTGTGTAAATTGGACTCTCCTTTGAATAGTTCTTTTGTGATATAAATCATCTTCCGTTGATATTTTTTCTCTTTTCTTTTTAAAAAAAGAAAGTAAATATTTGTTAACCTCTAATATATGTAATATTGTAACTTATTAATGATTAATTAATGTAGATCAACACGTATTGTTTTTGTCATTAGAATAATTTTAAATGAAGTTTAATTAATTATTAAATTCATTTATTACTTAGAAAATCATAAATAAAATATATATCTAATCACATTTTTCTGATCATTCTTGCTTGAATGTATTTTGGTATTTTTTACGCTTAATTTTAAAAATTAGTAAAAAAGTGTGTTCAAGTCTTAAATGTACATAGTTTTACAATTTAGTTTTTTATCAAATTTTGTAAACAAATTATGATATTATAATCTTTTCATTATTTCTGAGTACATAAATCATACATTAAAAGTTTAACATATGATAATTAATACGTTTACTGTTGCACGAATGTTTTGCATGAGTATAATTTAATTAAAACCAAAATATACGTTAAATTTATTATCTCGTTGTTAAAAATTTCTAAAATGAAGCTCCAAACATTGTTAATTACTTTTATAATTATTTATAGAATGAGTATACACTTTACTTGATTATTCGAGCATAAACAGTTTACAAATTCATTCATATTGTATTTATTTTGAAAAACAAAATGGAAAAATTAAACCAACGATAATTAACACATTGATAGCCGAACCAAATTTTTCTTCTATGTAAAATAAACGAAAATAAAAACTTAAGAAAAATGTTATTTTTATCGTTGTGAGACATTATAAAAATGAAGTATCCAAAATTGTTAATTACTTTCATTATTATTCATAAAATGAATTTACAAGTCTCTTCAAATTGTGCTGGTCATCCGAGCATGAATAAACGTATTCACGAGAGAATGCCTACGTCATTGAAATTATGGTATGTTTTTTCGAAAAGGAGATGAGAAACCGTAGAGATACTCGTACATCTCGTATAAGAACATCCAAAAATTTCAAGATACTTGAAACGACCACACGTATCGTCTTATCTCATTATTTCTTTTTCTTTTTTTACAATTATTTTTGTATCGCCTTTTTCGTATAGACGCATCCCTGTTTCCTTCGGCAAGCCTGATGCGACTTTAATTCTTTTCTTCATCCTACTCCGCTCTCTCTCTTTCTCTCTTTCTTTCTTTCTGTTCACTGAACACAACTCGTTCTCTGACCGTTTGTCGGTGCAATTTAAAGCGGGAGTATGTCTGTACGAAAGTAAAAGAGAAAGAGAGAGAAAGAGAGAGAGAGATAGTTGTTATATTCGACGAGGCCACACACAGTTTGAAAATTGTGCGCCTTTTTCGTCGCTTTTAACCGTACATTGTCCACCTGATATAAAAGCATTCTATTTTAGTTTATTT